TTTCACAACCTGAGAAAATGTTGTCTTCAGAGTAAAGTCAGAAGATGGACTCTGAAGTCAACTTTTATTCGGGTTGTCGAAACGTTCGTCGCTAACAGCATTTTTCACAACTATACACCATTCAGGAAGTTAGTCTTAAGGAACGTCTCGAATTGAAACAATTTATAACGAAAAATAGTATTTCTTAAATGTTACCATACAATCATTTTGTGTTGTTACTATCTCCGCAAAGTGCAAAATTTGTGTTTTCAAAGCTAATGTTATGTTCCATTTTTTTTTATTCAAGGGATTTTGGAAGCAACAGAATTTCCTCTATTGAATCTGGAGCCTTTCAAAATATACAAGGATCTGGTTGCACAATGTAAGTGTCTGGAGCTGATGAGTCTGATTCTTTGTTAGTCTTCACAGGCAGATAATTGCTCGCATCAAATTGCGCTTAAATATATGAACAAAAGCGTTCGATAAAAAGATTAGAAAAAATCAGATATAGCAATGATAGAAATATTAATCAAATGCATGTAAGTTCAATGGACATACTATAACTACATGTAAGTAACAATGTTCTTAGTTAGATATCTGTTTAAACGATTTGTAGAACAATTAGATTAAATTCACGTTAGGTGGCAAGTGCACTTAATATTTTGAAAAAGTGATAGAAGCAGTGCTTAAATAGAAGGTCAGTTACATAAGTTAACTGTAGTGTTCATGAGCGAAAATGTTTTCTGGCAAGCCGGCATGTTTCCAGATTTCTGTGTACCCTCAACCATGGTGCTTGCATACAAGTCTGTAACTGGTATGAACTTTCCCTGGAGTGGGCCATCCTTATCCCTTCAAACTTGGCATTATTATCATAACTAAGCTTCATAGATATTTTATTATATTTATTAATATTATTTGATTATTAGCTCAATATTCAACATGTAATTGCTCTAAAGTCCATGTATGTAGGCAAGATCATCTACTATTACGTTGTAGTTTAGTGCATATATCTTACTGTTCAACTACTTTTCATTTGCAGGCGCTTTGGCTCGAACGTGCTGAAGAAAATTGCTTCTCGTGCTTTTGACAATGTGAACATTGGCTACCTGTATGTTTATTAGCATTTAACAAATTTTCAATTTTGCCTTGTTTTATTTTTTGGTTGATTTATTTTTATGGTAGGTTTAAACAACTTTTGCAAAAAAGTCAAGGAGGTTTTTGCCATATCTTTGTGCTGATCCATATAGCTAACTGTTTTGAAAACCTCTCCTCTCTGCAAGAGTTGATTAAGACGGATTCCGCTCAAAGTTCGAGCAATAAGTGCAAAACGTATAGATAATTTACTAAAAATCTGCTCACAGCACAGTTCATTTCTCTAGGTGACTCCGTGGTTAAATCCCCAAGCATTCTCTAGAAATTTAATGTAAAACCTCGTAAGAATGCTTGGTGCTTGTGTTATTGTGTCTTAAGTCTCGATAAGTTCTTCTTAACACTGTATTCAAAATATTACCATACTATGAGGGCTTTTAGGTAACTTTATTTTTGCCATCATTGCTCGAATGTTCTGCGGAAATCATCTTAATTCTGTCTCCAGGTGGATGTTGTCGAAGGATCCAACTGTACAAACAGACCACCAAATATCTGCATGCTAAAACTTTTCGGTGTACAGTTACGTATTTAAAATGTAGCATTTTTTTGGTGGAATTCAGTAAGTGAGGATAGAATGCAGATCCTCTCCACTCTTGTTAGCAGCCAATTACTTTCCAACTCATGTTATGTATTATTTTAAAAACTGCTGTTTGCAGATCGGTTCCTAAGGTGAGAACAAACTGTGGAAAAGTCAATATTCGTTTCCAAGGCCCTATGTTTTGGAATTCTTTTGGGGAAGATTTCAAATATTCCTCCCCCCTCCCCGTTTAAATCTAATTTGAAAGAGCATCTTACTAACAATTATTAATGAATTTTGTTAATGACTTCAAACAAATACCGGTATTTTTAGTGCAGTTAGTCGTAGGATAATACGATCATACTATTTATTTAATGCTTATCTCCTTATTTTCATTTATTGTATTTAACGTTTCTGTGCGTGTTTACCTTAGTTAGCTACCGACTACAAATTGCGATATATATGTAAGTAACTGGCAACCTGACTTTTTTAGCTATTTCAAGTTATTACAGGTGGTCAGTTACCCTTATTGTAGTTTAATAAATGTACTATTATGTAATTAAGAATTGGTTCATGCTTAGCGTGCGTATATCGAGTTATGGATGCACGCGGGAAGTTTGGAGAGCACGGAAGAAGCTTAAGAGTTGCTCGAGGCCACAGCCGAGAGTAACTGTAGCTTCTTGAGTGCTCTCGAAACTTTCCAAGTGCATCCATAACTCGATATACGCACAGCGCTAAAAGCATGAACCAATTCTTTTATAACATGACGACAACAACTTGGGCGCTAAAGCATGTTTTATTTGTGATTGACTACAAAGTTCTCACAATGCACGGTGAAGAAAAACAAAGCTCATTAGGATCCTAACACGCCAAAATCAGTT